CGCCGGCAGCAGCACTGCTGCCACCCTCTCTCTCTCTCTCTCTCTTGCGTGCATTTTTCCCTCTCCTTGTAGCACTAAAACACCGCTGCGAGAGAAGAGCAGGGGCTTATCGAGAAAAAGAGGGGAGGAGAACACACCACCCCCCGCGAGGGCGATGGCTGGGCAGTGCCACCGTGTAACCTCAAAAATCCGCGTACGTCATCGTTTGCGTCTTGTTCCACGAGTACTTACTTGTAATAGCTCTCACTGCACACTGCACGCTATACAAAGTATATATAGATTCGAGCCCTATAGTGGTGATACTTATGCACATGCACCCTCACCTATGTATGTACAAATACGTCGTATATGAACGTCAAGGGAATACGTGTTTGTACGTGGCCTAAAGAAAGTTGAGAGCAAAGGTGCATAGTATACGTTTGGCTCGTTTTATATCGGATACTTTTATGACAGCTATTATGTATTACGATGACGTTATAGTTGCTCGAGTTTCTTTGTATGTCGTAGGTGTACAGGAGTGAGGAAAGGAAGTCAGCAAAGTGTTGTTTTTATACAAAAAGTTACTACGTTGTTTTTACAAGTGGCGCAAAAAACACGCGACCAAATAGATCGACCGAGAAATTTTTTGTACATTGAAAAACTTTTGAGGGATCCGACGATTGGAAAATCAGCGAAGCTATGCACTCCCGCTCTTCCACTCCCTACTTCGAGTTTTATTTACCCCAGGCATCTTGTTTACGCTTTACGAACTCCGAATGACTATTTACGACTCGAGAGGCAAGAAATTCCTTTTCCCTCCCGAGTGTTTTTATTTTTAATACAAAAAAGTGTGCGCTCGGGAAAGGGTTGGAAAACATGACGACAGGGGAGGGTAGCACTGGGCGGGGGTCAAGGGGGCAACGTCCAGGCAGTGCTGCCCTGTACAGCCCCGAAAATCCGAGCGTCATTCGATCCTCTCGTTTCTCCCCTCTTGCCGTTCTCTGTCTTCCGCTTTCTGTCATGAATTTATGTGTTTGTTTTTTTTAGGGCTGGTGAGTCATGCTAATCGAATTTTCAAAATATCTCTGAACATGGAGAAAAAATTTAATTTCACTTCAAACAAACTGTTTAAACTGTACTTTAAACTAATACAAAGTGTATAGTGTTATAGTCTTCAAGGGTATTTATACCGTTTGGATAAATGTATTTTGAAACGTCAAAATTTATTGGACTCAAATTTTGTGTAAATCTTTGTTGGCATGTCACAATCTAACACTTTATAAAAATACCAGAATTTTAAAATGCTATTTTATGCTAGGAGGAAGAAAAGAACAGTTTATATTTTCTTGTTATTTAAATGGTTTCATATTTAGATACATACCATAAAATTAATTTCGAAATAAAAAATATTATGTTGTGACTGCTTACTTGAGCGTTTACGCATTGCTTGAAATGATTCACATGGTCTCATTTGTCCTTAATACGGACATTTGTTACCCGTGACGCAGTTTCATAAGTATACATATTTGTCAAAAACTTTGGTGTCACTTTTATTCAACTCAGACAAAACTTGCTCAAACCCATGTCTTACCTTAGTCCCACAAGTGCCATATAAGCAATGAAGCATATCAAGTAAAAAAACAGTGAGAAATCGGTGATCCAAAATGTATAATAATGAAAAAGTAATAATCTAGTGTAAAGTTCTTTTAAGTAACAATAATGACACTACGAAGTGTTGAAAGCAGATATTGAAAGAACTGCCGTAATCGTGGGATTACGTTTTGTTTTTGTAACGATGAAAATACGATGCTGTATTTTGAAACAGGTGATAATTTAACGGGTTCTAGAGAAAAAACTCTTCATCAACGAACGAGGGCTGAACACCCTTGAACAAATTACCCTTACGGAAAATATAAAAAAAAAAAAGCATACATCCAAATGATTTTTTTTCTGTACAAAACATACACATCCAAATATTGAATGAACCACACGTACCGTTTTCCCTCCCTCTTTCGAGCCCGAAAAAAAATCTAGAACCCCTTTCAAGAAAAGCTGCTATACTTGCGCATGTATTCCGCAACTGCAAGCTCGGCTCAAACAACCCACAGTCCTCGGTATAGGGCGCTTGCGCAAAAACGAGGTATGCATACACGTGTATATATATATTATATACATCCGCGTATGCGAGGTACACAACCCGGCAGGAGAGAAAGCAGGGCGTGAGGAACGCGTGCATTCAACCCTCCGAGGTGAGTGAGAGTCGAAGGGGGAGGGGGGGAGGGGGTGAACGAGGGGGCTATGGACCCCTGGCGCAGGAGCAGCAGCGAGCGACCTCACCCCGTCGTTGTGTGTGGCACACGCAGCCCCTGTACTCTGTACACGTACACGTATATATGTACAAGCACACCGGCTGCAAAAGGTCACGTACCCATCCGACCCCGAGAGCTGCCGTCGATCGTTCACCTCTTGTCCTGGGATCTTTTGCTCTGCATCCGTCACGCTCTCTCTCTCTCTCTCTCTCGTTATCGTGATCACTGGTTTGCTAGCTCTTCAGATAAGTAGTGCTTGGCTCTATCAAACTCATGATGTGCGTTATGCAATAAGATGTAGGTGAGAATGCTCTAATTGATGCGCCAACACATTTGCCCCAAGTGACTCTACAAAAATGATTTACCGGTGACAGGTTTACCATCAAAAAAACATCATCGAAAAAACCTTTACTGATAATAATCATCAATAAATATACAAAATTAAGGAAAAAAAAAAAAAAAAAAAAACACACAGCAGCTCAAAGCGTATAATACATAACGAAGGTGTAGGCATCGAAAAGCGATATATGCAGTACAGTTATACGGGGGAGAAGGAGGAAAACGCCCGGATGGAAGCAGAAGCAAGGGAAAAGGAGAATCGATGCTCGGCGAAAAGCGAGAGAGATCGAAAGCACCCTCGGCTGTGTCTGCCGCGTATACTGGTTCGCCTTCGCCCCTCTGCTGCCGCGCCTCCCTTTTCCTCTCCACCCTGCCCCTACATCGTGCTTTTATTCCATTCTTCTTCGTTTCGGTCTGTCGGTGTTCGTCTTTTTTCCACTTGTCTCCCGGGGCAACGTTGGGAAATTATTCAACGCCCTCGCGGCTTTTGACGATCAACTAACTCCTCCGTGGGACTGTTTGTGCAGATTTGCACTATCGGCGTGGCTTGTCGAGGAAAAGTGACGTTTCACAGCGTCACCTCCTAATGTACCACTATGCAACGATGGACGCAAAGAAACAACCAGGGTGCAGGTGGCAGGGGAAAAGATTGTAAGTCTGTTTTTCCGCGATCCAAGAGGAATGGACATTATCATATATACGTAAAGTATAATGTAGCTTCTCTTGGTGACGAGGAAAACTTCGAAGATGGCTTTCGCCTCGTGGATACGCCCTTCCGCTGCAGCTTGTTCTGATAATCTCTCAAGACGCGAATTTCGCAACAGCGAGAGAGGGACGAGGAAAGAATACGCGGGGCGATTCCTCCCCTCGCGCGGAAAACGTCGAGGGTGACAACGACGACGACGACGGCAAACTTCTCCCGAGAGACGGAGGCTTTCGTTTTGTCTGCAACTCGCCGAGGGGGAAAATGAATGTGTGCGCGCGCGTGTGGTACATGGGGTTGCTGCTTGTATACGAGGTCCCAATGCTAATTTAGCCGGTCCGGGAATTTGCATATTATTATTATTATTATTTTGAATTTATGCTCTCACGCGTTGGAATTGAGGATCTCATGGAATGTTCCCATCGTTACGCTTTATTTGTCCTGTTGCTCCTTTTTTTTGGCGCACACATTACACCTGGACGTGACCATAATACTTGACACTTCATGAGATTGATTAATAGATGTATTTTTGTTATGAAAATAAATAAACTTAATCTCAAATTGTATACCTATTTTTTAAAATTTCATAATTTTTTAGTTAATGAAAAACAAATTTTTTTCGAAACTTTTATTCTTTATTTCCATTTGCAAATAACTTAATGGTATACCTGTATAATGCATCAACATCACATTTATTGAACCATAGTTGAATCAAATATGCGTCAGATGTTAAATATTGACAAACAAAAGTTGGAATTCAAAAATGTTTGTCAACTTTAAATTGTTTAAACTTCATGACCTGGATATTCCTATTAATGAACATAGTCATTGAAATTTTCATCCAATATGTAAATCGTAAAAAAAAAAAAAAAAAAATTAATTTCAGCACCCACCCAAAGAAGCGCTTCAAATTGAAATTTCAGCGATAAATTTCAAAATCTCTTTTAAGCCCCTCGGAAACAATCTGCTTTTCGATGAAGAAAAAAAAAAAAAAAAANATGTAAATTTTATGTTTAATCTAATCACTCATTAGCGGGTCGTAAAAAATTTCATTGACTCATGAATTATTGGACATATCTTATTCAGGGATACAAATGTATAATTAATGTTTAACTGAAATTATAAATACTATTAAAAATAAGAAAGTAATTAATAAAGAAATATAGAAAAGAGTAAGTAACAAAGAAAATAATTAACAACAAGAAAGTCACATCTTCTATCTGTCAAAACTTTTAGTTGATTGTTATTGATATAATTAGAAAGTGTGTAAATCTTTGTGTCGATCTATAAAATAATTCCTTGTACGCTCATAGTCCTACACAAATCGATTTCTTTTTTTTTGTTGTTATTTTTAATATTTTTTACTGTAATTATTTTGAGCATAAATAATTTCTTGGTTTTAATTAGAACAAATAACAGAAATTTTAACATGAAAATGTGGACATTTATTTTCGTAGATGTTGGAAATAACTAGGTTTATACTTAACAGAGGTCAGCACGAGATGGACTACTAAAGTTGTATCAACAGCTGGCTCGTTAGCAATGTACCTTACCTTTACAATTTTAGGATACTAAATCACTGATAGGGGGCGTTGTTTGCGCTTCATACTTGCAGATATGCAGATCTGCTAGACAAACAACAATGCTCATGCTCGTGAACCACATGTTCATGTACAACTGTTCAACTTACTACTTTTCCGGGTAGCATTTTAAGTAGGATCATTAACGTTTAAAATGATACAATTACTGAGAACTGCGTTATTTTAGTGCGTGAATTTTAGTGCAGTGTTAGCAGTGATCGGAATACATTTAAGTTGATTGAAATACGGTGAAACGTAGTATAAGTAATCAAAATGGACTGGAACACAATAAATTATTATTTTTCTTCGCTAGTTATTCTCGTGTATGGTTGGTTGTCATTAATTATCTTGACGTTGAGTATAATTGTGTTTTCGTACGTTTATGAATCAATTCGGAGATACATGAAAAAGAATATAAATGAAGAGTCACGGCAGAAAGGATTACTTTACAAAAAAAATGTCATTGTAAGCAGAAAAATGAAACAATACTTCATTGCAATAGATTTTTATACATCTAACATGTTAATAAAAAACATGTTCTCTAAACATTGTAGCTCTTACATTTCTTTATATTTAAAATATAAAGTACAGTTGAGGTTATGTTGTATTCACTTTTTCCACGTTTATTATTTACATGACGTGTAGTTCATATATTATTCTTTCGATAATGTATAAAAATAAATTATATTAGATTTATGCCTATGCGATTAAGTACAATAGTAAATTATTTAAGAAAGTATTAATAGTGCAATTTTTCATTTTGTGATCAGAAACCTTAAAAAAATTGTTTTATGCTAGTTGAAAAAAAATCGAGGGATGTTAATTTTTTAGATGTAATTTAAAAATTAAAGCAGTGGGCTGTTATTTTAAGATTAAATTAAAAACTCGCTGGAGTTTAAAATAATTATAATCCCAAGCGAAAATTAAATTAGTAAATACTTGATAATAACTAATAAAAACCGGTAATAAGAAGTCATAAATTCCGTTATTA